GCGGAGATCGCGAAGCAGGCCCGCGCACGGTGTGCACCTGCAATGGCCTCGATCACCATCTGGATGGTGTTCACGAGGTCGTCATCTACGAACAAATGGCCCGAGTCAGCGTGCTCGAGGCTGAACGGCGATATCAAATTGACGGCTGGTGAGAAGACAAGGAAACGTACCTGCCAGATTACCACATGCACAGGTATGGCCGGAGTTGATGAAAGTGCACTACAACCGTCTGATGGTGACCCCGAAGTTGCTGCAGCTTCCTAGGATTCTCGCCAAAAAACAAACTTGAGTGGAGGCGGTTTTGACCCGTTTGATGGCCTTTTTTTTTTTTTTTTTTTTTTTGCTGTCGCCGCATGCCACTGGACACCTCATTAATAACCCGCGCAGCCACACCAAATCAGACAATTAGACAACATACGCGGTACAGCAAACTGAACTCAACAGATGCGGCTGCCCTCGCTGCACCCGACAGCCTCTGAGTGGCCGCTCGACAATTTGATGGGCTACACTCTGCGTGAGCGTAACACAAGCACAAGGGATAGGCAGACGCATGTCGAAGGAGTTCATAGTCCCGGCCAGTCCATCGCGCAACAAGGCCAAGAATCCGCCGATGCAGTCTCCGACAACCATCACCACGAAGCGTCTGCAGCTAGATATTGAGAGTTATGTCAGCATATTCCTGTCGCGTTTAAGGACGGCCAAAAAATGCACGTCAGAGCATTGACCGTTGGCACTTGAGAGTGGAACCTGTGCTTATTGTGTGTACAGGCATGGACCTACGATTATTGCTCGGGTGGAGGCAGAACGCAAAATAATGAAAGCAAGAGCACGCACTTGACAAGCCGAGAACATCGAAGCGACCATGTTTTCACTGTGCCTTCTTTGCCACGTTCAACAGCAGTGGGCCCATCCACTCTGCGCCCGACTATTTTACCTTCTATAGCGTATTCACAATTTTCTGCACTCCTTCTGTGAGCTGCGGCACAAGCTAAACAGAACGCAAGAGGATGTACACTGGTGATTCTTGCTGATAAGACTCACAACGCACTACGGATGGCGAGACAAATATGAGACAATTCCCTGTGAACAACATCGTTCCACAGAGAGGCGTATCTTGCCGCCTTGTTGGGCACAAGTTCCTGCTTTGTGTGGTTCATGTTGTGCTGCAGCAATAAGTCGAGAACAATGTCGTGATGTTGGTTGTTGAGTACGTCAGTGTGGTGCGGGACAGGAAGCTGCTGTGCGTCACGACCGACGCGAACACGAACATCAGCGACGAGTTGTGTGCGAGGTGCAGCACAGACTGCACAAGAGTGTCAGTGGTGACAATGGATGCGGACACACGTGGAAAGAGACTTACTGTGACATCGCTGCAAAAACAGGGCAAGGTGTCGAGCACAACTCCACAAGTCCCGGTCCGGCAAAACGTTTGCTGGTAGGCAGCGCGCGTAGGCAGAGAAAGCTTGGTTTCTTATAGCAAATTCAAAAGTAGCTAGGGGCAACAAGGTGAAAGACTAGAAGGATGTTGCGGACTAGGCTGCCAAACTGGAACTCTTGCATTCTTTTGCTCAACACCAGGTGCTCAAGATGCCTAACATGTTTGCCTCTAACTGGCACAAAAATCCTGTCCATATGCTGATACTGCGAAATATCACGCATAGTCTTGCATTGGTATTCGAGGACATGTTTGATAAGCTCAGCATACCTTCCGAGAGCACATTCCCACGAACAGCGACTGTGAGTTGGGGTAACCTGAGATATGGGAGTGCCAAGGTTGGCTGATATTTCTGCTAGGTTGGCTCTCAGTCCATGCTTATCCCGCCATGAGCACAATCATTACGCGTGCTGCGAACCGCGTTTTTGTTGGCATGCCAATTTGTAAGTTTAAATGCGGAGTTTTGCAGGGAATGAGCTCACAGTAGGCATTGCGCTCAGATTGGGACAGTGGTTATGTATACATGATGGTACACTTCAAAGAAGACGTGAGTAAAGCTGTAAAGCTCCTCACAATATTACCTGGCTTTATGAAGCGCGCCACTGGAAGGAAGACCACAGTCATTGACAAACGCATCCAGCAGTGTCTTGACTACTTGCGGGCGGTTATTGATGATCAGATGGCCACGATGACTGAGTTTGGAAAGGACTGGGCAGACAAAGCCGGTATGTTACTTTGGCGGCGCCTCCCTAGTGTATTTCTGACCTAAGCACAGAATGATTTGTTGCAATGGCTTATCAACGAAGTTGTGACTCAGAATCAAGGACCAGAAGAGGTCGTGTGCATGGTACTGGTCATTAACTTCGAGGCAATTGGGACGACCTTGGCTGTAAGCCTTCAGTGTTGTAGAGCCACAAGTAGTAACAAGGTATATTCTAGGCTATACTCCAAGCCTTGTACGACATCTCTATACGTCCAGAGCTCGCCAGCACGCTACAGGAAGAGGTAGAGGCAGCTGTGGCAGAAGAAGGCTGGACGAAGGCTGCCACAAACAAGATGCGTAAGCTCGACAGCTGAGTCCTGCGTAGTGATGTGCGGGCTGGGCCTCAAAGCCTGCAAGCCCGCCAAGCCCGGCCCAAAAAGCCTGACCCGAGCTAAGCCTGGCAGCAGGCTCAAGGCCAGGCTCAGAGCATAGTCAAGCCCAAACCTGGCCCGAAAGCCCAGGCTTGGGTGCACCAAATGTGTTGCTGTTCCCTGGGCTCAAAACATGGTAAGAACGACTTTATATACACATACAAGACGGGACGTTGACTTACCGGACTGGGCGGTCCCTGCTAGTGTGATTAGGCACAGTTGTGTGCCACCGCCTAGCGTTCGCCGTAGGTGCCCCTTCGCGAACCTTGTCATAACATGGCTTGTAGCACGGTCGCATGCCCTCTGGAGGCTGCAGTACAGTGAGTACATGCAATAGCAGCCTATCACATACAAATGTGCCCACGTTTGTAGCATATAAATACTTGTCCTAAGTTTTGCAAGCCTGGGCTTAAGCCCATGGCTTGGGCCGGGCTCAGGCTTGGCTCAGGCTCAGAGCTTGGCTTGGTGTCGCCACAAGCCCAAGCCGGGCCCTCACATCACTAGTCCTGCGCGAGTGCGAGCGGCATAACGGCCCGACCATTGGTGCGTGCTGTTCTCCCAATTGCTTATCTCACTGCTGACAGCTCGTAGTGTTGATGTTCCGCAACATCCTGCAGCCGGTGACGCTCTTGGATGGAACATTCCTTTCTAAGGGTATGATGGCTGTCACACCAATGTTTGCGACACACTTCGACGAGGTGAATTATCCGAACACAACCCTATTCAACTCATTACGGTCTTACAAGAGCGACAAGTCCGTGCAGCCGCAGCTGATCACCATGTCTGCAGACTACATAACGTTTGGGCATGGCAAGCACGATAGGTATGTTGGCCTACCCTGTCGCACTTTCATACAGTAAGATTAATTGCTGCATCCACTCTGGCCGACAGAACGACGTCCGTCTCGGTCCTCACTGATATCACATAGGCTGTGGTCGCGAGGAGCAGGTAGTGATGTGCAGGCCCGGCTTGGGCTTGTGGCAATGCCAAGCCGAGCCCTGAGCCTGAGCCAAGCCTGAGCCCAGCCCAAGCCATGGGCTTAAGCCCAGACTTGCAAAGCTTAGGACAAGTATTTATATGCTACAAACGTGAGCATATTTGTATGTGATAGGCTGCTATTGTATGTACCCACCGTACTGCAGCCTCCAGAGGGCATGCGACCGCGCTACAAGCCATGTTATGATAAGGTTCATGAAGGGGCGCCTATGGCGAACGCCAGGCGGTGGCACACAACTGTGCCTAATCACACTAGCAGGGACCGCCCAGTCCGGTAAGTCAACGTCCCGTCTTGTATGTGTATATAAAGTCGTTCTTACCATGTTTTGAGCCCAGGGAACAGCAACACATTTGGTGCACCCAAGCCTGGGCTTTCGGGCCAGGTTTGGGCTTGACTATACTCCAAGCCCGGCCTTGGGCCCGCTGCCAGGCTTAGCTTGGGTCAGGCTTTTTGGGCCAGGCTTGGTGGGCTTGCGGGCTTTGAGGCCCGGCCTGCACATCACTAGGAGCAGGAGCCGTTTTCACCGCCATGCAGCAACAACCGCAGCAAGAATCGACGTTGGCAGCAGGCTGCTCGATATCACGAGGCCCTCGGTCATGCTCAGCACGCTTGGACCATCAGATAGTTTGCGACTGGGCATGGATGGCGTTGGGGGCACATAGGCAGTAGCTCTGGACCGCTGTCGTCTCATCTTGTTGCTAGCGATCAGAAATGACGGAGGCGCCTGAATGCTCTTGTTGAGATGTTTGAAGGCTATGAACTAAAGGGCGATGGAGATGAGATGCGAGAACGTCACCGTCGCAGCTGGGGGTTTGAGCGGCACAGCAAACTCGTAGTCTTACACCAAGTTCGTGCCATCTAGTACCCGAAGAATGTTTAGAGGAGGTACTTGTCAGTGTTAATAGCCAATAGCAGAGGTGTGGCTTACTTCGGTAGGGTGACGGTGGCAGGTAGACCGCCCTCGAAGGTTGCGACGGTACCGCCACTGAATGCCAACCAAGTGTCTGCCCGTGCTACGCGTACAGCAGATCTTGACACGCATGTTGGAAGTGGCTCATCGAGAAATGTGGGGCCAGCGTTGGCTTCGGGCGCATGACATTAAGTGATCTTAGCAGCAACGTCTTGGCATTGCGAATCATGGTCGCCCAGTCGTCGTGTCCCTCCTGGCTGCGGGCAAGGGCGCGGAGAACCCAGCAGGGGCTGAGAGCCTCAAAACGCAGGTGTTGGCTCGGCTCGTTCGACATCCAAAGCGAGCCAGGCGCGATCTCGACGTTGACCAGCTTGACGCCACTCTTGCACACTCACTTCCTCTCGCTTTTTGGCAACATTGACACTTGATATGTGCTTCCTTGGCTGCAAAAGGTCGGAGAGCTGGGGTCTGAAGCCTGCAAAGCTGCCATAGAACTGCTACACCCCAATGCCGCGCGCGTCGGCGTGTCTGTGTTGCTCTTGCTCTGCGGGCAGCGTCGGCAGCCTGCCAAGCCTGCCCAGACTCTGAGGTGTAGGACAGTACAGTGACAGTGCGCTCCTAGGGCTGCCGCCGTTCCGAACTGGCATTCTTGTCTGCCTTGGGCAGCCAAAAGAGGCACTCCGCACTCAGAAGGTGTACATTACTGCGCTGGAGGAAGAGTGTCGCGCCCGAGAGATGTGTGACCCAAGATAGTGAGTCGAAAAGGACAGCTGAGAGTGTGTAATTGGATGGCGAGCAAGGCTAGAGTTTGGGTATGTGTGTGCGACAATGCATTGGGGGAGTCTGTGGCTGCAACAAGCTGTGAGTAACAGGTCAAATCAAATGATAATGACTACACTCACTCTTAAATACAGCAGCGCACGCGGTGACCAGACCAACATACAAAAGATGGGCTTGGCCAGTGCAGCTGATGAAATATTTGAGTGGTGGGAGGCATCTGAGGCTCCCTGTGCTACGATGGGGACCTAAGTATGGAAGTCGAGCTCTTCGTAACGAGTGCTGGTAGCCTGACTCGCCAACAGCAATGCAAAGCTGGGGCGCTTCGAGGCAGCGCGTTGCACGACGTAGAGTTGAAAATGACGAGACAAAAAGATGGGCGGCGGCCGAACACAGGAATGAGAGAGATAGGTCAATTGGAGAACGGGAGCAGACCACGCTGCATGCTGGAACATCAAAATAGAAGCACTGAGGGTAGAAGATTGAGACAAGTGAGGGTTTAGGGTGGCCCCAGATGCTGATCACAGCCATTAAAGACGGACGCGAGCCTGGCGCGACCAAGAGTAGGGGGGGGGAGGCGGCTAGCAAAGCAGAGATAAGCATCGAGAAATGAAGGTGCTATGGAGAGATTAGCTGACTGACAACGAGCCCAAGAACAGCACTTACTAGGTGAATACATTCCAAGCCATCGGCACAAGTCGCATCTGCTCGCGTTCATACACACTGTAGGAAGTAAATATTGTCATGATACGACGACTGGGCTGCACGAGCGCGAACTGGCAAGTGGCACGCAGGCACAATCTAATACACACGGGGGATTAGTCTGGGTGCGAAGGTGAAAGAGCACACTGTATAGTTCTAACCTAATACACACAGGGGATTAGCTATACAGCACGTAAGCATATGCGCATACTGCAAGGGCGACAAGGGGAGACTTACTCTGGGTGCAAAGGGGAAAGAGCACACAGAGTGGGGATGCGAGAGGAGTCCTTATATACT